AGTAATTTTAATGGGAACACAGCAATCAATATTTGGCTTTTAATTAGGTTTTAGTGGGGTTATTTTGTGTATTTTTGTATGATTTTCTTTGTATCCTGTATATTGTATTTGTGTTTTTAATATGCTGTGAACCGCCCTGAGTCCTACGGGAGAAGGGCGGTATACAAATTAAATTAACCTTAACCTTAACCTTAACCTTCGGGTGTGGCGAATCCTTCTTACTCCAGGTGTCACCGTCCCACGTTAGGCTGTGGAACTCCCCTCCCCTGCCCTGCCCTGCCTCCCTTCCCCACACAGGGATTTAGAGGCCACACTAACCAAAAAATGCCCTCCTTTTTGATGTGCTTGTCTTGCTTGCCACACCTGACGGGTTTCAAACTGCTTTTCCCAGCGATTGATTTTTTAAAAAAAAATAAAAAAAAATCCAGGGATCTCCTGGTGGTGCCCCATCCCAGCAGGAATCCCGCTCTGAGATCCGCCTTGAGATTTGTGGCTCGACGCCGCCCTCTGCTGGCGGAACGTCAGTCTCTGCTCGGCTCCGCCCGCAGAGGAAGGGAGTAAGCCACGCCCCACGCCCCCCACGGCAACCGCCAATCAGGGCCGCCCTCTGCTGGCGGAACGTCAGTCTCTGCTCGGCTCCGCCCGCAGAGGGAGTAAGCCACGCCCCACGCCCCCCACGGCAACCGCCAATCAGGGCCGAGATGGGCCGATCCGCGGGAAGAAGCCGCGCCTCACGCCCGCCACGCCGCGCCTTCTCCGTCGCCCCGGCAACCGCCTCTTCGCCTCGCCCCGCCCTCCCGCCAATCAGGGCCGAGATGGGTCGATCCGCGGCTCGGCGCTCAGCCGGCCGGGCTGCGTGGCCGAGCCTGGACCCGACGCGGGGCGGGACTTCCGGCGGGGCCGCCGCCGCCGTGCCGCGAGCAGCGTCGCAGGTTCGGAGCGGGGCCTGGGCGGGGGTCGCCGGGCGGGGGGGGCGGCTCCTCAGACCCGGGGGGGTCCCGTTGGGGGGCGCCGCGCGGCCCCCCCGCCCGAAGGAGGCGGAGGGGACTTTTACCTCAGGCCGCGCAAAGCCTGTCGGGAAAGGAAGGGGAGGGGGAAGCGCGGAGGAGCGCCCCCCCCGCCCGCTCGCTCGGCACCCCCCAACACCAGCCCTGCGAGGTGGGCCAGGACCTCGACCACCCCTGTATTTATCCCCCCTCACACACGTAAAATAAGATAAAAAATAAAATAAGATAAAGCAAAATAATAAAATGAAATAAGGTAAATAAAATATAAATAAATAAAAATAAATAATAAAAAGCATATGTAGGGGTGTGGGTCTGTACAGATGTTGTACGTGGTATGTTTTAGGCGCGTGTCATGTATGTGTGTCACTTTTGAGAGCGGGCAACTAAATTTCATTTTCGGCCCACAGTAAAAAAAAAAAAATGAGAATAAAGGTTATCTTAAACTAAAATAAGGGAAAATAAGGTAAATAAAATAAGGGAAAATAAGGTAAATAAAATAAGAGAAAATTAGGTAAATGAAATAAGAGAAAATAAGGTAAATAAAATAAGGTAAATAAAATAAGAGAAAATAAGGTAAATAAAATAAGGTAAATAAAATAAGAGAAAATAAGGTAAATAAAATAAGAGAAAATAAGGTAAATAAAATAAGAGAAAATAAGGTAAATAAAATAAGAGAAAATAAGGTAAATAAAATAAGGTAAATAGAATAAGAGAAAATAAGAGAAATAAAATAAGAGAAAATAAGGGAAATAAAATAAGGGAAATAAAATAAGGGAAATAAAATAAGGGAAATAAAATAAGGTAAATAGAATAAGAGAAAATAAGGTAAATAAAATAAGGGAAAATAAGGTAAATAAAATAAGGTAAATAAAAGAAGAGAAAATAAGGTAAATAAAAGAAGAGAAAATAAGGTAAATAAAAGAAGTGAAGGTAAATAAAAGAAGAGAAGGTAAATAAAAGAAGAGAAGGTAAATAAAATAAAATAAAAGGATGTTTCTGCTGCTGCCATCCCCCCCCCAACCTCTTTCTTTCCTGAGGGTCTTTTTTCTCCCCCTTTCGGTGTATTCCCTCCTCCTGAGGACAGTCCTCGACTTACAACCACAGCTGAACACCACCACCCCCAAAAAAAAACTTGCTATTACTAAACGGGTTCAGTGAGCTTTGCCCCGATGGATGACTTTTTCTCACCACGGTTGTTAAGCGAATCACTGCGGTTGTTAAGCCAGCCGTGCGGTCGTTAAGCGAATCCGGCTTCCCCCGTTGACTTTGCTTAAGGTCGCAAAAAAGGGGATCATCCGCCTGACCTCAGGGCGGCTGCGGCCGTCACAACTGTGAGTCGTCGCGTCCGTGAGAGAAAAATAACTTCCGCCTGGCGCAGTCTTGGCAGGGCGCCTGGGCTTTTATTGTGGTTTATTCTCTTTGATCTGGGTGTGTTAGGCAGGTCTGTCCGCGTTCTTTGTGTTCCTCCCCAGCCAGAAAAAAAATAAAAGAGTCTGGAAAAGTTTTGTTTGTGTTGTCTGAAGGGCTTCCTTCCCTCTCTTCCTCCCTCTATTTTGACTTAAAATGAATGTATTGTTTAATGTCCCTGCTTTCCCTCCCTCCTTTCTCTCTTTTTTCTCTTTCTCCCTTCCTTCTTCCCATCCCTCCCTCCCTTCTTTTTTTCCCTTTTCTCTCTCCTTCCTTTCCTCCCTCCTCCCACCCTCCTCCTTTCTTTTTTTCTCTCTTGCCTTTACTTTCCATTCCTTTGCTTTCCCCTTCCTTCTTTTTTTTCTTTACCTTTCCTTTCCTTCTGGTTGTTAAAAATTATATTTGTAGCCCCTGTTTGCTTTATTGGATTCAATTATGGAGTGTGACCAGCAAAATAAAACACAGAAGCAAGACTCAAATAAAACAGAAGTAGTGCCTCACTCACATAAAACTTAAAAAGACAGACATTAAAAACACCAGATTAAAAAAATACAATAGGATAAAACAAAACAATAAACCTTCTCATAGAAATTATTATTTGTGGTAGAAATGACTGATTGAAAATTATCAACTCTACTGGGGATGGTAGGAGTAGAGTAAGAAACAGACTATTTCTCCCCCATTGAGCTTTCCTTTAAATATATATATATATACTTACTCCCCCCCTTCTCATTTAGCCCTTTGCTCTGATGATGTTAACAGGTTGTTAACGAAAGCTCAGCAATTAATTAAAAAAAAGCCTTTTACCTTACATCCCAGAGTGCTTTATTGTAAGTGCACTTTTAATTGGCTTCTCCCTGGAGCTATTTTCACAGAACTGGGAAGTGGCTGCAGGGGTTGACAAACCAATGTTTGTTTCCCTGCAGAGAGTGGGCCTGCTCTGAACCATGGAAGGAAGGAACCGGGAATGATGGACTGAGTCGCCTCGTCTCCTATAAGTCGCCATGTTGGAAGGGTTGATAGCGTGGGTCCTCAACACTTACCTGGGCAAATATGTCAGCAACCTGAACACAGACCAGCTCTCGGTAGCTCTCCTCAAAGGTAAGGTCTTTGGGTAGATTTTCACCAAATCTTGCCACCCGGCGATCAGCCGGCGGCTTTTGGCCCCTGTGGGGCTTTAATGGGTGCCAAAAAAGCACCAGATTGACTCCAGCAGGAAATGAAAACAATGAAAATAATTCTCCAGTGATGGTGGTGGTGCTGTTCCAGGTAGTCCTCGACTTAACGACCACATTTGAGCCCCCAAATTTATGTTGTTAAGTGAGACACTTGTTAAGTGAGCTTTGTCCCATTTTACGACCTTTCTCACCCTTGGGTGTTAATGGAACGGTCGTAATTCCAGCAGCATCTGGAATGCTCTCGTTTCCACGTCCGATTATTATTATTATTATTATTATTAATATTCCATTTATCTTTATTTTCACGAGTCTTGTGCGAATATGAGATAGTGTGCTTGCTGGCTGAGTGATCCCCATTCAGGCTAAGCTATGGCTTGTTGGCTCTTCATACATCACATCACTAGGTCAGCAGTCATTGTGGTAAAACCCTCATTGTCTGGGCTTGTAGCTCTCCTGCTAAAGCGAAACGCATCGTTTTGTGGCTTGTGACAAGAAGGGCAGCCAGCCCCGTCTCTTTCCCTTATCTAGATATTCTGGGATATTCAGGGCATCATCAGAAAGGGGTGGGCTTTGACTTTTATTTAGGTTTTGCTATCTTTTCCTATGTTTTGCCTTTTTTTTCTTTTTCCTTTCCTTTCAGGGGCCGTAGAGTTGGAGAACTTACCGCTCAAGAAGGATGCCTTGAAGGAAGTGTTGCCATTTGAAGTGAAAGCTGGTAGATATTTGGGAAAGAAGGGGGGGAGGTGGAGACGGAGGGGAGGGAGGGGGAGAGAGAGAGAGAGAAAGGGGGAGGGAGAGAGAGAAAGAAAGGGAGAGACAGAGAGGAGAGAAAGGGAGAGAAAAGAGGTAGGGAGGGCGAGAGGGGAGGGCAGGTGAGAAATAAGATTGAGAAAGAGGGAGGGAGGGAGGGAGGGGGAGAGAGAAGAGAGGTGGGGAGGGGAGAGAAGAGAAGAGAAAGGAAGAGAGACAGAGGAGAGAAAGGGGGAGGAAAGAGGAGAGAAAGAAAGGGATGGAGGGGAGAGAGGAGAGAAAGACAGGCCCTCTAGCACAGGGCTCTCCAACCTTAGGCCCTTTAAGACTTGTGGACTTCAACTCCCAGAATTCCTGAGCCAACCAGGCTGGCTGGGGAATTCTGGGAGTTGAAGTCCACAAGCCTTAAAGCGCCCAAGGTTGGGGAGCCCTGTTCTAGCAGGCATATGGCTGTTTAAGACTCCTCCTGCTGGGATGGTGGTTTGCATTCAGATCTGGCCTCCTCCTGACCCACGTGGATCGTGTCCCGTTTCTCCCCCCTCCCCAACTGCAGGGTTTGTCGGCAAGATCACCTTGCAGATCCCGTTCTACCGTCCCCACATCGACCCCTGGGTGATCTCGGTCTCCAAATTGTACCTCATCGGCTCGCCCGAAAAACAAGAGGAGTTTGTCGAAGCGAGAGAGAGGCTGCTGGATCAGGAGAACAAGAGGGCGTTTCTCCTCGTCCTGGAAGAAAAATGGAAAGTGAGTCCACTTTGCATGAAAAGAATAAAAAAAATGGAACCATTTCTACCCTTCGGCTTGCATCGGACACCCCGAATCTGACTCCTTTTTCTCAGCATCTCCAGGAACAAAAATTGGCTTTTATGTTTTGAAATAATCGACCAGATGACCTGAGATGGGTAGAAAATTTGTATATATTCCCCGCTTCTTAGCCCTTTTCAAGCTGTGCCTGTATTTGGTGACATGACATGTTTTGTGACGTGCATTTTCATCACAAACTTTTCATCACAGACGTGGAGAAAGCAGCAGATGGAGAGCTGGTTTTTATTTTAATTTCTCATTTTAATTTTTTTACTTGTAAAATGGATTGGCCCTCCGTCTTACCACACGGTCACTCTTAATCTTAAAAAGATTTAAAACCGTACAGAAGCTTTCCCCCTTTTGCTGTGAGCTCTGCAGCTGAGTGGAATTGTTCTGCGGACCGTCTTGGCCAAATGGGATTTATTTTGACCGTCCAGTTTGCCACTCCTGTCTTTTTATGCCCTTGATTTATTCGCTGGCTTCATCGACTGCCTGAATTGGAAGACTCTGGGGGGGTTGTTACAAGGAAGTGGGAACACAAAACCCCACAACGGTATACACACACCAAGGTGGCCCCTCTACCCAGTCAATTAGTGGCTTCCTGAGAAACGGATTAACCTTAAAACCGGGGTTTGAGCTGAGTTTTCTCTCCTGCCTGTCCTCTTTTTTTAGAAAGAACGGGAGCAGATCGGAGAATCTTACTGGTATTCGGTCACCGCCTCGGTTGTCACAAAGATTGTGGAGAACATCGAGGTAAGTTGAACGGCTGGAGAATTCTGTACAGGCAGTCCTCAGCCGGCAACCATCGTAATTATGAGCCAGTTGCATCTGAATTTGGATCACCCGACTGTGGAGATGCTACAGCGGTCGTAAGTGTGGAAAAGGAGTCCTAAGTCTCTTTTTTTCAGGGCTGTTGTCACTTGAAACGGTCACTAAACGAAGCAGAACAACATCCAGATTCGGTCACAGTTCTGTTCCATGTAGCATCAGTGACTTAGGACCCTTTTTCACACTTAACGACCGTTGCAGCATGCCTCACGGTCACGTGATGAAAATTTGAACCGCTTGCAAACAGCATTTACGACGGTCGCAGTGCCTTGGGGGTCACGTGATCCTGTTTTGATAAGCAAAGCCAGTGGGGAAGCCAGAGACACCCCCACCCCTTGTTTTCCCTCTACCCATACAGCTCAACATCCAAGACGTCCACCTGAGATTTGAGGATGGGGTCACCAACCCGTCCCGGCCTTTTGCCTTTGGCGTCTGCATCAAACACGTTTCCATGCAAAATGCCACGGGCGAGCCGGTGAGTAAACATTGACCCCCGTATTAAGGCCACGAAACGGGCACCCTTCCCCACATAATTTGCTTCCTCCAGGGACCACACACCGGCAATTGTCGAAAGCCTGCCCTTGCCAACAGGAACACAACCTTCAGCCCAGCCATTGTTTCGCTGCGAGGCAGGAAGACTTAACAGCGCAATTGTGTGGCTCACGTGCCGTTTTTCTTACTCGAAGGTGGAGGAACTAATGAAGAAGAAACAGCTGGATATTTCCGACTTCAGCATCTACTGGGACAGCAGCTGTACCCTGTGGGGAGACCTGCTCCCCGAGGAACTGCAGGTACGATGCTCCTGTGTTCAATTTACGCAACTGTGCACACTCATAATGAGATTTTTTTAAAAAAAAAAAAACCCTGAATTAACGTGGTTCTGATTTCCAGGAAGCCATGGATAACAGCATGGAAAACCGGGATCATAAGTACATTGTGGAGCCCGTGTGTACGTCCGCCCTCCTCAAGAGAAACTGCTCCAAGGAACCCCTCCGCTCGCGGAATAGGCCACGCCTGGAGTTTGACATCCAGCTGGAAACAATCCCTTTGAAGCTTTCCCAGGTGGGGAAAAAACAAATAAATCAGAAATTTAGCGTTCCGCTAAAAGGTAGTCGCCGCTTTGAGCGGTGATCGTCGTGGTAATCCGAGGACTCTTTGTACAACGAATCTATCGTAGTTCTGCCTTCTCAAACAGCGGGGGTGGCATTTTAAGGAAAAATATTGGGTTCCCCTCCTGTGTCCAGCAGGGCGTTGTTTAAATGCCAGGATGCTTTAACATTATTTTATCCGTTCAGATGCAGTACCGACAAATTATGGACTTTCTGAAAGAACTGGAAAGAAAAGAGCGACAGCTCAAATTCAGAAAATGGAGACCGAAAGTCACAGTGACGGGAAAGTACGAGTTCTTTTTGTTTGTTTGTGAACTAGCCTGCAGGTTTAGCCACCTCCACAGTTTCTAAAACAAGAGGAGAAGAGCCAGTGTGAATCAAGAGTCTGGAGGGATTTTCCCCACAATTTTATTTGATTTACAGCTCACCAAAACTTAAGTTTATTAGAAAAAGTGCCGCCAAACTCCTGAATATTTTTTTTTTTACAAAATTGTTCCTAAAGTGGTTGAGGAGGGATCAAAATAAACGCCTATTTACACATAATTAGGTCTATATTTGATACAATATTGAGCGTGGCAGTTTGACGCACACTTTGGGGCGTAGTTAGAGGCAAAGGACCATGATTCGCATTGACAAACCAAAATGGGTTTTTTGGGTGCGTGTAATCTCACTTTAACCAGCATTTTCCCTCAACCCACTCTCACCCAGCTGTCAGTTATAATTTTTATTAATTTAGTAGTTCTCAAGCTCTTCTTCACCACCACCACCCTTTGAATACCCTTTGTGGCCACATTCCACGGCCACAGACCCCCCAAGACTTAAGATTTAAATCCTAACATTTCTTCAAGCCTTCACGGACCCCCTGTGACATCGCGAGCCCCCCTCTCCCCACGGGTCCACACACCACAGGTTGAGAACCATCGATTTAGGGGGCCTTAACCTAACCACAATTGCTTGTTTGGCTCGTTCCAGCTGCCAAGAATGGTGGCGCTTCGCCCTGAACACGCACCTGGCCGAGATCAGAGATCAGAAGGAGCGTTCTTCCTGGGAATTTGTGTTGCGTCGCGCTCGCGATGCGGTCTTGTACACGGATTTGTACTACAAGAAGTTGAAGGATTTGCTGCTTTCGGAGGAAGAGCAGGTAATGAGAGTCTGTAGCATCCTGAGATGGTTAATCCGCCAAGCCAGCATGTGTGGTTTTCATTCAGAAGAGCCCTCGCTGATTACAACATAAACCGTTTGTTGGACGTTAACAAGGGCACTGAAAAATGTGACTTAACGGTCATTTTTGACACAAGCATAGCAAAACGTTACTTAACCCATTTCTCATTTAGCAACGCAAAATCCCTGGCCACGGTGGCCGTCGTTCAGACGAGGACTGCCTGCATTCTCTTAGCAGTCCCTCGCAGTTTTCTGTTTTCTACCTGCAGGAGGAAATGGAACGCATCGAAGACGAGCAGACGTTTGAGGAGCTGAAAATCCTACGGGAAGTAGTTTACAACCGGTTCCAGGAACTGGCTGAGGTGAGAGAGGAGTCGAAGGTGTTACTAGAGGTTGGCCACTAGTGAGAGAGGCACGGTGTCCCAAATTTTGCAGAGCTGCCCTTTGGCTGGCATTGGCCCTTGCCAGCTCGTTTAATTTTTATTTTTTTTTAACTATTACCATCTGGCAGATGGTCCAGGATAATAAAAACAAAGAACAAACAGGCTGAAAAATAGGGGGTTTTTTTTAATCCCAGAGGTGTAACCGTATTAAATACCACAGTATAGTGCAACATTGAAGTGCAATATTAGAGGCAGTGTGAAGGACGTGCGTAATATAAGGTATGTTCTTGTGGTTTTGACTTGTGTGCAGTGTGCACTTAATTTTGTTGCGAGTTACACAAGGGCAATAAAGATATTCTATTCTAATTCCAGAGGAGGCCCTAGCCTAGCAGAAGTTAAGCCAAATATATGTGTATTTGAGTTGGAATGTGTTTGTCGCAAGCCCGTGCCACCTGTATTAATTCTTATTTTTAATTTTTTTTAAAAAATGGCTCAGGGTGCACTTATTCCCCTACAGACCACGAAGAAGCCCGATTCTCTGGATTCCACCTCGGAGGCTGACCTGGGAGGCGGCCGCAACAGCAGCAGTGGGATGCTGCGGTACCTTCAGTCCTGGTTCCCCGGATGGGGAGGTTGGCACAGCCAGTCCCAAGAAGCGCTGGAAACCAAGGCCATCGAAGAGCTGCTTTCGGACACCGCGGAAGAGTGGCGGCAGGAGGAGATGGCCGGTACGTTGAGCGGAGAGGCCGTGTTTCCCTGGACGCAGACAATCGTCCCTTGTGGGGTGCTTGGCGCTCTCTGGAACTTGGTTTCGTTGCCGGCCTTTTCTTGCAGACATTTCATGACCCAACTAAGTAGCATCATCAGTGCTCTGTGAGCAAAGCCCTTCCCCTCCTAGCACTGGTGAGGTTCTCTAGTTGGGTCATGAAACGTCTCAAGGAAAACCACCAAGCTTAGAGAGCACCAAGGACCCCACAGTCGTCGTCCTCCTCCTCCTCCTCTTTGCAAACCCCTCTCCCTGATGAGGTGCCCTAGTTGGGTCATGAAACGTCTCAAGGAAAACCACCAAGCTTAGAGAGCACCAAGGACCCCACAGTTGTCATCCTCCTCCTCCTCCTCCTCCTCCTCCTCCTCCTCCTCCTCCTCCTCCTCTTTGCAAACCCCTCTCCCTGATGAGGTGCCCTAGTTGGGTCATGAAACGTCTCAAGGAAAAGCTCAGAGAACACCAAGGACCTCCCAATTCAACCCAAACATTCTCTTCTATTAATAATTCCCTTCATAAACCAAACTGGGTTTGTCTTATTGTCCCCTAAGTTTTTTTTTAACCCCTTGGTACTTTCTTCCCGCAAACCAGGAGCTGATGATTTTTTTGATCCAGCTATCGATGTCTCCAATATAAATACCTTCGCCAAGAGGGACCACGTCCTGGTCAAACTAAACCTTTGGCTACAAGGTGGCTCCATCACGCTGTTGCACGCAGTGAAGAACAGCCGGCAGGCCAGCGAGAGAGCCTTCATGCAGCTGCAGTTTTCAGGTGCTTGGTCCCATTTTGTTCTTGTGAAATGGATGCTGGTCTTTGATAATGCATGATTCTGGTCCTACAGGATGATGTATGGGTTTGATAATCAGAGAGATGGTAGGTAGGTAGGTTGGTAGGTAGGTAGGTAGATAGGATAAGTGACAGACAGACAGATAGAAGGATAAGTGATAGACAGACAGACAGACCTAGAGGATAAGTAATAGATAGATAGATAGATAGATAGATAGATAGATAGATAGATAGATAGATAGATAGATAGATAGATAGATAGATAGAAGGATAAGTGATAGATAGATGATAAGTGATAGGGAGAGAGAGAGAGAGAGAGAGATAATAGAAAAAATGTTGTCGCCACAGAGTAAGGGCCTAATTTACATTTCTCTCATAACTGCTGTAAAAGGAAATTGGAAGTCCTGTCTTTATATTCTTATTTTTCCCCTCTCTTCTGCTTCCTGCCCTTGTATCTCGTCTGCTCTCCTATTGGGACCGAGGACTCAAACCCCATCAAGCAGAAAGAACTGCCTGGAACATAACTGAGAATCTGTTGGGCGTCTAAGGCTTGTTCTGGCTTGTGGCTTCTTCTGCCCCCTTCCTCCCTTAACGGGCTACGTCCTCGGCAGTACTGAGGGCATCCTAACCCTGGTTGGCTTGGTCTGTGTTTTCAGGCGTGACCATCCTAGCGGAAACTCTCCCTCGCAGGAATTCCTCCCTTCTGAAAGTTCAGCTTGGAAGCCTCTTCGTCCGAGACTTAGCGACCGAAGGGACTATATTTCCAGTCCTTGTCTTCCCTAATCCGGTACGTTGAACTCAGTGCCACGCAGGCAGCTTCTTCACTGTTCCAAAACTTAAAACTAACACTGATAATGTTAGCGAGTTGGGTCACGAAACGTCTGCAAGAAAACAACCAAGCTCAGAGAGCACCAAGGACCCCGCAGGCCTCCTCCTCCTCCTCTTACTCCCACTCCCCTTCTAGCACTGATGATGTTCCCTAGTTTGGTCATGAAACGTCTACAAGAAAACAGGCTCAGAGAGGACGGAGGACCCTGCAGTTCAACCCTGAGCTACCAATATTCTCCTTTATTGATCCATATATATATATTCTTTCTCTTTGTTTTCTCTCCCTAGCTTAAAGAAGTCGGCTGTGCCTCTTCCGTCAGCCTCCAGACCTCATCTTCCGACACTAGCAACCAAAGCAGCGGTAATATTTTCATTTTGGCAGCAGTTGGCCATCTGCCCTTCAAAATAGTCCCGGCATTTGTGAAGTGTGAACAGGAAGAGGGTTGCCTTTTAGTCTTAACCGCCCCAAAACATACTGTCAAGGTTCCAACTAATGAAACACTTCTAATATTGAATATTCTTGCTTTGACACATACGTAGTTTGCAGCTTCTTGGTGTAATGTTCAACCTCTTTGAATCCTATCGATCCCATCTTCTTTGCCCAGAAAAAGCAAGCAAAGCGCAAATCTCAAATTCCTCAAAGTCGGTCTGGCTATGCAGATTGGTTTTTAATGTTTGAGAGCAGCTGAACTATTCAGACATCGCCAGACCCTCAAAAAGCAGCTTAAAATTGGATGTTGCCTGCCCTGTGATGCTGGAGACTTGTATAATCCTGTTCTGCTGACAGTTACCCTTTCCTCCTCTCTCTCTCTCTCTGCAGAAGATCCTGTTCCAGTTTTTGAAATGCTGTATGAGAAAAACCCGGCTCGCAGCAATTTTGAGAGGCGGTTGGAGGTCAGCACCCAACCCCTGAATATTATTTACAACCCCCAAGCCATTAAGAAAGTAGCTGACTTTTTCTACAAAGGCAGAGTTCTTTCCTCTGGTGAGCCTTCTTAGTCTATTTCTTTTCCCGTCTCTCTTTTTTTTTCTCTTTCTTACATTTTAGGTTGTTTTCCTTATTGGCTTCACCCAGAGAATTAAGGTTGTGGGTTTTTTTTTTAAAGTGAAATAGTTTGTTTTATTGTTAAACCGTAGATTACAGGGTATAAAGAAGCCTTTGTCAAATACAGGGGGGGCTTAGTCTGTCTCTGGCTCCTAATCAACAATAGCCAGATTTGTTTTTTCAGGCTAAGCCGTGAACTTTATGCTTTAAACTTCCATGCTTTCGTGCTTTTAAGTTTTGATGTGGTGTGTTGTGCAAAATCAGTTGTTGTGACTCAGAAGCCACACTTTGCAGTCTGTGTGAACAAACCTTGTTTAAATGAGGCTTAGCATGATTCTAAAGGACAGGGTGTCTGTAAGCAAGAAATAAAGATTTTTACTTAAGCTTCCAAACAAAAAACCTACAGTTGAAATTTCCACAGTAATAAAACAGCCTGACTGAAAATGACCATTGGCTTAACAGAGTTGGAAGAGGCCTTGGAGATCTTCTAGTCCACTCCCCTGCTGAAGCAGGAGACCCTAGACCAGGGGTAGGCAACCTTGGCTCTTTTATGACTCGTGGACCATGCTGGCTCAGGAATTCTGGGAGTTGAAGTCCACAAGTCATAAAAGAGCCAAGGTTGCCTACCCCTGCTCTAGACCATTCCAGACATTCACTTCTTAAAAACCTCCAGTGATGGAGCACCCACAGTTTCTGGTGGCAAGCAGTTCCACTGGTTCGTGGTTCTCCCTGTTAGGCACGTTCTCCTTAGTTCTAGGTTGCTTCTCTCCTTGATCAGTTTCCATCCGTTGCTTCTTGCCCCGCTGCTGGACAGGCAACCTCAATATCTTGGTGACCCTTCATGCAGGTTTCGGATGTCAGTCCGAGCTGGAACTGAGAGTGGCCGAAGCTGCCAGAAGACAATACAACAGGCTCAAGATGCAAACCAAGGCTGAAATCCGCCAGACCATCGACCGGCTGCTTGTCGGGGATTTTATTGTGAGTATTGCTGTGGGGGACTTTTTTTTTTGCAAGTTGTAACCTGCGTCTCTGCCTGAAACCCAGGATTTCAGGAAATCCCATTTTGGGTTGGAAGGCAATTAGGCCTACAGCCTAACCAGGGTGTCTCAACCCTGACAGCTTTTAAGATGAGTGGATTTCAAATCCCAGAATTCCTCTATGCTGGCTGGGGAATTCTGGGAGTTGAAGTCCACGCATCTTAAAAGTTGCCAAAGTTGAGAAACACTGCTCTAAACAGCTTTCTGTTGTAATATTAAAAATACAAGCTGGATTTGACCATCATACTATCCCAAAACCATACAGGTTTTGGGTTTAGCCAGTTGTGGGAAATCTGCCGTTTTCATTTGTAAACCATGATTTTAGACTTGTCATACTTCAGTAAACTACGGATTATTCAAGTGTCTGTTTACATCTAATGAAGGCAACTCGATGTGTATTAAAATCAACAATCTTGATTAAAATTGGTCCCTTTGGTAGATCCTTTGAATTTGTTCCCCTAGGATACACAATTGCCTCCTAGTAAACCTGTTTCTAGGTTTGTTTTTACGGTTATTGTGCTTCTAGGCCTGTGCTTTTAAACTTGAGGTTTGTAGCTGGAGAACCCTTTTGACTGTTTGAAAGATAACCAGATTTCGCTTGGTTTTAGGAGGAAAGCAGGCGTTGGTCCATCTGCCTGGATATCTCTGCCCCTCAGGTGATCTTCCCGGACGACTTCAAATTTTCAGACCCTGTTTTAGTCGTGATTGATTTGGGCAGAATGCTGCTTACTAATTCCCAAGGTGTGCGCTCTTAATTTATTTCTAAGTTTGCAATCAAAGAGTCTGTGTCTCTGCGGGATGGGACAACTCGCCACGGCCAAGTCCACGCCGGGACAACACACTAGAGGACAGTCCCAACAATTCAGTTTAATGATTATTTTAATTTTCGTCATTCACATTTCATATTGTCCCTCTGGCATCCTTTCTTTAATGATTCTGTTCCACTATTTCTTCGATATTAGTGTTAACTCTTGTCCCATGGCAAATTGCCCAGTGGTGAGTTGACCATGGCAAGTTGGCCATGAGTTGGCCATAGTGAGTTGGCCATGAGTTGGCCATGGTGAGTTGGCCATGAGTTGGCCATGGTGAGTTGACCATGGCGAATTGTTGTAGACCAGTGTCTTATGTATCTTGTGTGTGTTCACCAAAGATCACGTGGCTGATTTCTTACCCTCATTTTCTAGAGGAGCACAGAAAGAAGAGTCCGGACAGCCCATCTCTAGAGCTGAGCGATTTGAGCGACGACGAATACAAGACCCCTCTTGCTACCCCTCCCAACAGCCCCCCTCCTGAAGCCCACCTGGCCGGAGAGGAGGACAAAAACAGAGAGGAGTTTCCGGGCGTGGAAATTAGCGAAGAGCAACTCCAAGCACACCTGATGAGCAAAAAAATGTACGAGACCTACACTTTGTCCTTCATGGACCTGCAGATCATGGTGGGGCGAGTGAAAGACAATTGGAAGTACGCCCAAGACATCGAGGTGGGCCCAACCCACGTGGTGGAGAAATTCAACGTCCACTTACAGCTGGAGCGACGGTTGATCTACACTTCCGATCCCAAGTACCCCGGAGCTGTCCTGTCTGGGAACCTCCCTGATTTGAAAATACACATCAACGAGGACAAAATCGTGGCCTTGAACAACTGTTTCGGCAGGCTGACCACCCCTGACTTGGAAACCCCGGGCCCTTCGCAGGTTGGGAAAGAGCCCTCAGGCTTGGAGCAGCGCGGAAGCCTTCACAGCTCCGTGGTGAACTTGACCCAGAGCGTCATCCTGGTGGAACAACACACCAAAGAAGTCCTGGTGGAGTCGCAGCTGCTCCTGGCGGAGTTCCAGGTCAACTGCATGCAGCTGGCCGTCGAGAGCAACGGCCGCTACATCGCGGTCCTCAAGGTGTTCGGCACCAACGCTCACTTTGTGAAGAGGCCCTACGACGTCGAGGTCTCCCTCACGGTCCACGGCCTGCTCTTGGTCGACACCATGCAGACCTACGGCTCCGATTTTGACCTCCTGATGGCCTCGCACAAGAACCTCAGTTTCGACGTCCCGACGGGGAGTCTACGGGACAGCAAAGCTCAGTCCCCGGCGAACGGCCTGAGCGAGCCCCTCTTAGTCCAGGACGTCTCTCTCGCCGAGAAGTTCACCCTGGCGTCCCAGAGGCTCTCCGGCACGTCTCCGAAGCGAGACGAGTCCTTAATCAAACTGGAATACCAATTTGTCACCGCCGAGTGCCCTTCGATGAATTTGGACAGCTCCCTCCAGGTGCTGACGGTCCAGATGAACAACCTGGACATCATCCTGAACCCGGAGACGATTGTCGAGCTCATCGGCTTCCTCCAGAAGTCCTTCCCGAAGGAGAAGGACGACGGCAGCCCCCAGCCACTAATGACCGATGCCGAGAAGACCCTGCGCGAGCGAGAGATTTTCCAATCCACCCATTCCCAAAGCACGGAGGTAGCCGTGGAGATCCACTGGCTGAACATCCTTCTGCTTCGGACGGTCACCCTGCTCAACCGAGAGAAGTTCGGCCGGAAGATCGCCACGGCCAGCATCGGGGGCACCAAGGTGAACGTCTCCATGGGCAGCAGGCTGGAGGTGAATGGGTCTCTGGGCTGCCTGCATCTGATGGACCTGACCCAGGACAACGTGAGGAACCAGTACGTGGTCAGCATCGGGAACACGGAGCGGTACGGCGTGGGCTACGCCAAGCCCACTTTTCCCCACTTTGAGGATACCAGTAGCCTCCCCGATGCCCTGAGCTTCACCTTCCAGGAGCAGTCCCCCGCGGAGTGCTCCCTTCTCCTCCAGATGGCCTCCCTCCATTACAACCACTCAGCTAAGTTCCTGAAGGAGGTGTCTCTGTCGCTGGACGAGCTGGAAGAGAACTTCCGCAGCATGCTGAAGAGCGCGGCCAGCAGAGTGACCACCGTCCTGGCCACCAAGACGGCGGAGTACAGCGAGATGGTGTCTCTCTTCGACACGGCGCCGAAATCCAGAGACCCCTTTAACCTGGAGCACGACGAAGGGGACGAGCCCACTCCCCTGTACCCCAAGGCGGAAACCATCAAGCTGGTCTTAAACGTGAAGATCGAGTCGCCCGTGGTCTCCATACCCCGTAAGCCCGGCAGCTCCGAACTCCTGGTGGGTCACTTGGGACAGATCTCCATCCAGAACTTTGTGACGGGCGAAGACAACCTGAGGAGCGACAGCCTGCAGGTGGAGATCAAAGACATCAAGATGTATTCTCTAAATTGCAGCCACTTGGCCGGGAAGAAGGACTCGCCGCCGGAGGCGTGGCCCGTTCTGCCCTCGCCATTGGGCATTCCCACCAGCTACGGCTACCCGGAAGAGTCGCAGTTCACTCGACATGATTTTTTCGAGTCTTTACACAGAGGCCATGGTAAGCGAACCGGGAGACTGTCAGAATTGCGGGTTTATCGGCCTGCAAAGGAATTGGGATTGAAATTAGATTTCAAACAGGGTTTCTCAGTCTGGCCAACTTTTAAGATGCGTGTCAGTGAGAATGGCTTGCCATCCAGGTCAAGTGAGTTAGGGCAAGTGGACTTGTTTAATGTTGAGGGTCCTTGGTGCTCTCTGAGCTCGGTGGTTTCCTTGAGGACGTTTCATTTACCGTTTCATTCAGGCGAGTCCCCTTCCATTTCAGCCTTCCACATCCTGAACAACGCCACCATCCAGTTCATCCTGGAGAAGGTCCCCATTGAGTGCGGCGCGGAGCTGGCCTTCTCTCTGAGCGACGATGTCAACATTGCGAGCCTGATGAGGATCGAGGGGAAGTTTGTCAACCCTCTGCAGGTAAAACACACCTGCAGGGTCTTTCCTTTCTCTGCGCCTCCGCTCCCGACCGCGAGGAACCGTCGGCCTCAGGAAGCAGCTAAGCTGGATATTTCTTCCCAGAAGTGACCCCGAGAAAGAACTTAGAAAGAACAGAATGGAGCCAGTTGGCTTGGGGCTCCACTGGGGGGGGGGGAGAATCAGTCCAATGGAGGGGGCTGATTGAGTAATAACAGATCCCATTCTCCCCCCCCCCTGCCCTCCCCATGTGTCTTTGGATGCAAGGTTTGATTTTAACTTTTTATGTTACAGTTAAGATGTAACTAAGCCGCCCAGAGTGGTAAGGTGGGTGGGCAATAAATTCTACAAATAAATAAATTGTATAAATGAAAAAAAATTATAAGTAAGTTTTATAAATAAACAAGCCCCCTATTCTAGCAGGAAACCCTATCTGGTTTCAGATAAATGGCTGTCCAATCTCTTCTTAAAAGTCTCCAGTGTTGGAGCATTCACAATTTCTGGTGGCAAGTTGTTCCACTGGTTACTTGTCCTCCCTGTCAGGGAATTTCTCCTTAATTCCCTCCTGGATGAGTTTCCATCCGTTGCTCCTTGTCCTGCCTTCAGGTGCTTTGGAGAATAAGTGGGACCCCCTCTTCTTTCTGGCAGCCCCTCAGATATTGGCATGGCAACTTTAAGGGAGGGTGGTGGCCTTCCGTGGTTTATAAACATGAAATATATGTATATCAAATAGTCCATCAAATTTGAACTGATCATGTGGTATTAATTTACAAACCACGCAGGTGATTTTAGCCAAGCATGTCTTCGAGCAACTGATGCAGACGCTGGACAACCTTGTCTGCAACGAGGACTTGACCAAGCCGCCGTCCAACTTCCCGTCGCCCACCTACTCCAGCTTGGGTTCCCCTTCCGCCTCGCTTCGGAGCCTAAGCGCCGATTTCTCCCTCGGCCGAAAGGAAAACGGCTTCTTCACCCACTCCAGCTTCTCCACCGCTCAATCTCTGCCGGTCAAGGAAGCGGCCCAAACTTTCACGCAGCTCCAAGCCACGTTCCACATCGCCCAGCTCCAGGTTCAGCTCAGTGGCGACCTTACCCTGGGAGCCCAAGGCCTGGTGAGCTTAACCTTTCAGGATTTCGACGTGGAGTTCTCCAAGGACCATCCCCAGACCTTGTCCATCCAGATCGCCTTGCGTTCTCTGCTGATGGAGGATCTCCTGGAGAAGAACCCGGATTCCCTGTATAGGAACCTCATGGTCTCCCACGGGGCCCCCAAACCTTCCCATTTGGCGCACAAGGAGTATCTCTCTCAGTCCTGCCCGCTGGTCTCCAACGTGGAGTACCCGGAGATGCCACGTTCTCTCCCCTCTCACATGGAGGAGGCCCCCAACGTCTTCCAGTTCTACCAGCGGCCTTCGTGCGCCTCTCAGCCCAAGCACAGAGAGGACGCCGAGGCGGGCTGCCCACTGACCCCGCCGCCGTCCCCCACGGCCAAAGAGTTGAGCGCGCCCGCCGGGAAGAGCGACTTTGACGACTCCTTGGTGCACGTCAACGTTCTCCTGGTGGACAAGAAACACCCGGAGTTCGCCTCGCGCTACGGCAAGACCCACCGCAGCGTGGACATCGACTTCAACTGCCTGGACGTCCTGATCACTCTGCAAACCTGGGTGGTGATCCTGGATTTCTTCGGGATCGGGTCCACGGCCGAGAATCACGGGCTGAAGGTGCAGAGTGGAGAAGCCCAGCAGGCGACGAAATCGGAAATAAATCCCTTGCCGGACAACGAGGCGCCGGAGGAGTCCGTAAACGCCAAACTGGATCTGAAGGTACTGAGAGACGTTACCCCACGCCGTGGTTGATTTCATAAAGGCAGGCAGTCCTCGGCTTTAATGGCCACAGTTGAGTTTGGGTCGCTAAGGGAGACATTTGTTAAGGGAGTCTTGCCCCCTTTTACAACCTTACAGTACTTGCCACCCTTGTTAAGTTGTCAAAGTAGTCCCCTGGTTGTTGAGTGAATCTGGATTCTCTGTTGACTTTGCTGGTCGGGAGGGGACACTGCGACCGTCATAAATGCGAGTCAGTTACCAAGTAGCCAAGTTTTGATCATGTGATCCTGGGGATGCATGACCCCAGGGACATTGTGACTGTCATAAATGTGAGTCAGTCGCCAAGCAGCCGAGTTTTGATCACGTGGCCCTGGGGATGCATGGCCCCGGGGACACTGCCACACCGTCATCAATGCGAGTCAGTTGCCAAGCGTCCGAATGTAAATCACGTGACCACGGGGGTGGTGCAACGGTCGTGGGTGTGAAAAACTGGTCCCAAGTCCCTTTTTTCAGTGACGTTGCAACTTCGAGCAGTCACTAAGCGAGGCTGTGGTTAGTCAAGGGTCGTCTGTACTAGGCTGGCAGTATCTTGAAGAAAGGGGACGATGGGTGTGATGGTGCTTTCTGCTCGAACAGGTCCATTCTCTGTCCATGGTGCTGAACAAGGCAACCAACGAACTGGCCAAAGCGAACGTCTCCAAACTTGTCACTCACCTGGAAACGGCAGGTGAGTCTCCGTTACCTACAGGGTGTGTGTTTGTGTCCCAGACATCCTTGGGGGTGGTGTTCCAGTTTTCAGAGTCCTTCCTGGCCCGTAAAAAAATCCCTCTCCTTGAGCCACACCTTCTTGGTGAACGGAGGCAAAGACCGTTTTTTAGTCAACAAATCACAGCTCGGCCAACCGCGATGGGTTTCAAGGCTGGGTGGGGCTGACCCAGGCCCTCTTGTCCTCGCAGAAGGCGACCTGACTTTTCGGGGAAGCATCGGAAGTTTCTCCTTAAGCGACCTGACCTCCCACGGGGATCTTTACCGCGAGCGCTTCACCACCAGTGGCCAAGAGGCCCTCATCTTTCACGTCTTCAGGTAGGAGACGGAGTCACCTTCTCTGCCTGGGACTGAGTGGGGTGTTTTGACTTCTTCAGCTTTCCCAGGATCCCCTTTTGGCTAACAAACGAATTGGGTGGGGGGGGAGAAAGGGGGAGACTGTGGTATGGTATCTGGTGGACTTCAGAAGCTCCGGGAACTGGCAAGGGTTCTCCGCATCCTGGAGATACCTTGGAGGCTAATAAGTGCTCACTGTTTTCTGAACAGCCAAGGCATATCCTAGTGGGAACAAGCTTTCCTTTTCTCTTCCCTCCCTCCCTCCCTCCTTCCCTCCCTTGCTCTTTCCTCCCTCTCTCCCTTCTTTCCTTCCTTCCTTCCCTCTCTCTCTCCTTTTTTCCTTCTCTCCTTCCTTCCTTCCTTCCTCCCATCTCCTTTCTTCCCTCTCATTCCCTCCCTCCCTCCCTAATTCCTTCCTTCCTTCCCTATCTTCTTCCTTCCTTCCTCCTTCCCTCCCATCTCCTTTCTTCCCTCTCTCCTTCCTTCCTCTCATCTCCTTCCTTCCTTCCTTCCTTCCTTCCTTTCTTCCTTCCTCCCTCTAATCCACGCACCCCATGCATCTCCTACTCCGCTTCCTGAGCTTAGCATGGTTTCCCAAGACCTTCTTTGCGACCCCTTTTCCTTCTTCTGAAAGCAGGAATAAATATCCACAAGGCGACTTCGGATTTCTCGGCCTTCGCCTTGCTGAAGGCGCGGAATCCGCTCTGTTTCGACCACAAAGGTCCAGCATAAACCCTATTTGGTTAAAAAGAGAGCCTGCTGGCTGTCTCCTTTTCCCCCAAGGTACGGCCGGCCGGACCTGTCCCTTCAGAGGGAGTGCGACATGCGTGTCAGCCTGCGGATGGCGTCGGTGCAGTACGTTCACACCCAGCGCTTCCAAGCTGAGGTCATCTCCTTCATCCAGCATTTTACACAACTGCAGGATGTCCTGGGCCGTCAGAGGGCAGCCGTTGAAGGACAAACGGTTTGTAGCACAAGGGGTTGCCTTGAGTGAGTCTGGCTAGGTAGGTAGGTAGGTAGGTAGGAAGGAAGGAAGGAAGGAAGGAAGAGAGAGAGAGGAAAGAAAGGAAGGAAAGAAAGAAGGAAGAGAAAGGAAAGGAAGGAAGGAAGGAAGGAAGAGAGAGAGGAAAGAAAGGAAGGAAAGAAAGAAGGAAGAGAAAGGAAAGGAAGGAAGGAAAGGAAGGAAGGAAGGAAGGAAGGAAGGAAGGAAGGAAGGAAGGAAGGAAGGAAGGAAGGAAGAGCACCTTTGGGACAACCACAGCCTGGATGACAGAATCTCCATAGAATTCTCTCCTTGCGATAGCTTTGAAAGTCACCCATCTTCATATCATATATATGTTTTTATTCACTCATGTGGTTACAGCGGCAAGAATTATATTCGCTCAAAATTGGAAAGCTATGGTGATGCCTAGTAAGGAAAGCGTAATTCACAAAATTACGTACTGCGCAGAATTCGACAGATTAACTAGAAGACTTAAAAATCAGGATGAAACGGATTTTTACCAAAGTTGGAACAAATTTTACAGATGGTGGGGGGGGGAAGCATGGAAGTTATGGTAATGAGATAAGATTGTGATTAGAGTGATGTTACTTGTATAGGTTTTTCTCACTAGGAATTAATGGTGAATAGTGAATCGAGATGTAGGTCAAATCTGATGTACCCTGTTCAGTGTTTTTAACTTTGTTTTCAATAAAATTTAAATTTAAAAAAAGAAAGAAAAAGAAAGTCACCCATGACCTTGTAGAGCCTTCTTCTTAAAACCTGCCCTTCCTTCCTCCAGGTGAGGGACCAGGCCCAGCAAGCAGCCAGGATTCTTCTGGACATCGAAGCGGGAGCGCCGGTGCTCCTTATTCCGGAAAGCTCCCGATCCACCCACCTTATCGTAGCCAACCTGGGAAAACTAAAAATCAAGAACCGCTTCCTCGTGGCAAGCAATTCCGCTACCTTCTCGCTCAAAGACAAGGTGAGCCTCCTTCCGTTTCTCGAAAGCTTTGCGCCTGTTTTGGGGAAAGCGTAAAAACCACGACCGTGTAACTTTCGCCCACGTTTACCTTCTTCTCTTTGGAGGATTTGATTTTGCAAGGCAAAGTCTGCAGGGATCCTGGTTTTTTTGGGGAGGTATTTTACAGATCGGTCTGGGCGCAGGGTACTTTGAGCTGAGGACTTCTGCAGCTTTCTTGAATGGCTTTTCCGAAACGGGCAAGCGTCTAAAAGCCACGTCCCTTGGGACCGCTGTTTCTTGAGTTATATTTTTTTAGAATTCCACAAACAAAACGTTTGGAATTGAGAAGTTAGGATTCCTACGAAAGTTAGAATTCCCAAAAGCTGCAGAATTATTTTTTTAAAAAAAGCTTGTTTTAGAGTTTGATTTGCTGTGTCCGTGTGCTGTGCAAAATGTATTTTACAAATGATAAATAGAAAAGTTTCATTCCAAATGTTTGCTGTTCAGCCGCCCGTGTATTTCTTGATTTCCAAGTAGAATTTTTTTATGAGATAAGTTGTTCTTGGAAAAAGTTTCCCGTTAAAGGAAACCAATTCGGAAGCAAATTCTTCTTCTCTTGAGCATAATTCTGTTCTGCCATCATTTAGCTGCCATTCAGAGTCGCTCACCCTTAAAATAAATGGAAATATATTATGGATTCATTGATTTGGGTGGACCGGGATAGGGCTGCAGAACGGCCTTGCTGTGAAGACTTAATTTAAAAAAACAAAATTGCTAATTTATACAGTCCCTTTTAATTAGGATCCTGTTCTGTTTTCCTCGCCGCTGGGGACCCCGAAGCATAACGCGAAGAAAACTCCAAGTGGCGAGAAGGCACCCCACTTCTCTGACGGTTTGCACACAAAAGAGTTGTCTTCCGTGCCAATTCTCAGCAGTCAGAAAAATGAGCACATCCCGGAAATTGGGGCAAAACAGACCCCATCCTCTCCTTTGTCCTCGGCGGATAATCCTGGTAAGTAAAGAGGGCTGCTACTCCAGAGACTCTCATTGCTCCTCTCTCTGTTGGATGAATTCTGGGTGGGTCCTGTTAATGATGAATACAGATAGTCCTCAGCAGACTTTCTGTGGCGTCCTTGGTGCTGTCTGAGCTTGGTGGCTTTCTTGCAGACGTTTCATGACCCAGCTAGGTAACATCATCAGTGCTAGAAGGGAATGGGGGTTATGGAGAGGAGGAGGAGGAGGAGGAGGGGGAGGAGGAGGAGGAGAGGAATAGGACGGTGGGGTCCTTGGTGCTGTCTGAGCTTGGTGGCTTTCTTGCAGACGTTTCATGACCCAACTAGGTAACATCATCAGTACTAGAAGGGAATGGGGGTTATGGAGAGGAGGAGGAGGAGGAGGAGGAGGAGGAGGAGGAGGACGGTGGGGTCCTTGGTGCTCTCTGAGTTTGGTGGCTTTCTTGCAGACGTTTCATGACCCAACTAGGGAACATCATCAGTGCTAGAAGGGAGGAGGGTTTGTGGACAAGAAGAGGCGGACTGTGGGATCCTTGGTCCTCTCTCTCTTATATTTTTATACCTGTGTTGAACCCCGGAGCTTACCTGTTTCCTGAGAAAGGTTAGCTCTCCACACCCCCAATAAAATGGGTTCCCCTTCTTGATGATTCGTATCCAGTAGAATACGGCCTGGTCATATCGGGATGTTTTCCTCTAATTCTGAGCTCTTTCCTGCCGAGAAAAATTAACCCTGCGGGGCTGCTCTTTTGCAGAGGGGCACGCCTGCCTCCTGGACTGCATCATGGTCGACCTGCAGGACATGGACATCTTCGCTGCCGAACGGTGCTCCCGCGAATATTCCCAGCCCGCGAAAGAAGCTCCGGTGGATTTGACCTTCCCGTCTTTCGTCATCAGGCAGACGGGAGGCAGCCTCTTAACGGAGCCCTTTCGGCTGAAATTGCAAGTGGAGAGGAACCTGGACAGGTGAGTTTGGGCCTGGGGGTCTTTTCACGGGGTCTCTGGTCTGCTTCCGGGTGGGGGCTTGGGGACAGTCCCGGAATGGAGTGGAGTGGGAATATGAAATGAATGGAATGGAATGAGTTGTCCGATGATGGCCGGTCTGCTTTCCTCTTGCAGGGAGATCAGCCACGCCGTGCCGGATATCTGCGTCCACGGCATTGTCTCTTCGGTCCACTGTTCCCTGGACCTGAGCAAATACAAGCTGATTCGAGGCCTCCTGGAGGACAATCTGGGGGAGCCGGTGGAAGAGTTCCTACGGCCCTACGACCTGCAGGACCCCAGGATACACGTGAGATGGGTGTTGGTTGTGTCACCTGCTGTTAATCGTTAGTCCATGGAGACCTTTAAAAAAACCCATTTTTTTTAAAGTTCAGCCCCCCGTCATCCCCGTTGAAAGGAAGTAGCCTGTCCCTGTGTTAGTTCTTCATTTATTTCCTTCTTTCCTTCCTCTCTCTCTCTTCTCCTTTCTTCTCTCCCTCCTTCTCTCTCCTTCTCTCCTTCCTCCTTCTCTCCCTCCCTTCCTTCTTCTCTCCCTCCTTCCCCTTCTCTTCTTCCTTCTCCCTCCTCTCCCTCCCTCTCCCCTTTCCTTCTTCCTTCTCTCCCTTCTTCCTTTCCCTTCTCTTTTGCCTTCTCTCCTTCCTCCTCTCTCCCTATCCCTTTTCCTTCTCTCTCTCCTTTCCCTTCTCTTCTGCCTTCTCTCCTTCCACCTCTCCCTCCTTATCCCTTTTCCTTCTCTCTCTCCTTTCCCTTCTCTTCTGCCTTCTCTCCTTCCTCCTCTCTCTCTATCCCTTTTCCTTCTCTCTCTCCTTTCCCTTCTCTTCTGCCTTCTCTCCTTCCACCTCTCCCTCCTTATCCCTTTTCCTTCTTCCCTTCTGCCTTCTCTCCCTCCCTCCCTCCCTCCCTCCCTCGTATAAAACCTATAAAAGAAAACTTGAGGGGTGCCTAATAGGCCAGCTGGACTTTGGGGTTGGGATTGTTCCCAATCTGGAATTCGGCAAAGCCGGTAAATATCCGTGCAAAAGTTTTACGTCAAGAGTTGAGCGTTTTTTTTCTTCCCTTCAGACGGTGCTGAGTGGCGAGGTCTACACCAGCCTGTCCTTCCTCATTGACATGGTCAACGTGAGTCTGGAGCTGACCAGTCCCCAGGCTAAGCAAGGCTCACTGGCCAGGTACCGTCCCTTAATCAAGACAATAATTATTAAAATTGTTAAAAGGATCATTAATAAGGTTAATCAAGATAGTTACTCAGAAAACCTCTCTCTCTCTCTCTCTCTCTCTCTCTCTCTCTCCTCCCAATTTGTTTAGGTTTGACTTCAAAAAATCAAAGCTTCTCTTTGAGAGTTTCTCCAATCAAACCAGATCCATCAACCTGGTCTCCCACTCCATGATGGCGTTTGACACGCGATACGCTGGGCTGAGGCCTCCTTCCGCCACGCCCAACGTCTTCAGCTGCATCTTCCAGCCTTCGAAAAACAGCACTTCTCAAGGCGCCATCCAGATTGAGCTGCATTACAGGTAAACGAAGCCTCACACCACTTTTTTTTCCCAGAAGGCCCCAGCAGAGCCCAGGAGCCTGGAGTTGGAAGGGTCCTTCCTCTGTGCTCTTCTGAACAATCCGTTTCAAAGTGAGAACAATTAATCAGTTGAACCATTTGCCTCCAGATGTTGTGGCTGCTCCAACACTGGTGGTTTTTAAGAAGAGACTGGACGGCCCTCTGTCCGGAATGGTCTAGGGTCTCCTGCCTCAGCAGGGGGCTGGACTAGAAGACCTCCAAGGCCCCTTCCAGTTCTTGTTATTCTGAGAGGCGTGCAGGGAAGAGGGAGCCCACAACTCACTCTGGATTCCAGGTCTTCGGCACTTGAAATCTAGAAACACTGTGGGGTAGAAATCTATTTAAATACAATTAACATTTGACGCTTCCGCTGGAAAAGTTTCACTGGGGCTTAAAGTACTAACCATCTTTAATGAAGAGGGAGGGAGGAAGGAAGGAAGGAGAAGGAGAAATGAAAGAAGGGGAGGAAGGAAGGAAGGAAGGAAGGAAGGAAGGAAGGAAGGAAGGAAGGAAGGAAGGAAGGAAGGAAGGAAGGAGAAGTGAAGGACAAGGAGGAAGGGAGAGAGGAAGGGAGAGAGGAAGGAAAGAGAGGGAGGGAAGGAGAAGGAGAAGTGAAAGAAGGGAAGGAAGGAAGAATGGAAGGAAGGAAGGAAGGAAGGAAGGAAGGAAGGAAGGAGCTTGTTACCGTTGGGTTAAGAAATTGGCCAGTCTTCAAGCAAGACCGTTGGGATCAACCAGCCTCTTCCTTTCTCCCTTTTAGATCTACTAAGGACTCCTCTTCCTTCACGGTCGTCCTGAACAACCTCCGGGTCTTTCTCATCTTTGACTGGCTGGTGCTGGTCCACGACTTCCTTCAGACCCCCAGCGACCCCAAAAGGCCATCCAACCCGCCTCCCTCTCGCCAACGTAGCCTCGGCAGCGAACCGGCGGTCATTCCCAAGGCGGTCAAGTGCGGGATAGTCACCAAGCGTTCTTCTCTCCAGATCTCCACCGAGAAACAGCTGGAGGTCAAGATCAATGTGACCGGTAAGAGAGATTTCTGCGGGAACTTCAGTCGCTCAACGAAGGGCCGTTAAGTCCAGGACTTCCTCTGTTAATACGTTCCGTGGAAAGGAAGACCTGTAAAGGCAGGAGGGCCTGATCAGGAGGGAGGCCCCCTCTTCCCGGTGAATCCTCCAATAATTCAGTTGCCCTTCAGATACGGAGTTCGTGGTGGTGGAAGACATGACCTGCACGGACACCAACGCGGTGATTCTGAAGGGGACGACCGTCCTGACGTACAAGCCCAAACTGGTGGACCATCCTTTCTCCGGGAGCCTGTCGGGCATCGAGGTAAGAGCCCTGGGTTAAAGAATAGAGTAGAGTAGAATTATAGAGTAGAATAGAATTAGAATTAGAATTAGAATAGAATAGAATAGAGATTAGATTAGAATAGAATTAGAGTAGAATAGAATAGAATAGAATAGAATAGAATAGAATTAGAATTAGAATAGAGAATAGAATTAGAATAGAGAATAGAATTAGAATAGAGAATAGAATAGAATAGAATTAGAATTAGAATAGAGAATAGAAATAGAATAGAATAGAATTAGAAGAGAAGAATAGAGAATAGAATAGAGTAGAGTAGAATTAGAGTAGAATAGAATTAGAATAGAATAGAATAGAGAATAGAATTAGAATAGAATTAGAGTAGAATACAATTAGAATAGAATAGAATAGAATAGAATAATAACTTTATTGTCACTTAAAATGTACACTAATCAGAATTCATCAAAATGAGATTTCCTTGCCTACAGCTCTCAAAGGCTAACCACCTCCAATATATACTGCATAAACATGACCAAAATAATAGTTGTTATTATGCAAATACCCACATACACACAGCCGCACACACACACACAGGGTTTCCAGGTTGCCGCCTCCTCCCCCCCAGTCCTCCTTCAGGTAAGGCAGCCTCCAAGGGTCTACCCTACAGAACGAATTCTGCTCCTCCAGGTGTTCTCCTGCCGGCTGGGCAACGAGCAGGAAACGGCCCTCTCCATCCTCGATCCAGCCCTGATCCAGGTTGAACTCGTGGGGAACTCTTCCTATCCAAACGGATCGGGTCTGTTGGATGCTTTCAATGGGGGAGACTTCCCTCCCCTTCTAGAGGTACGGTTCTTCCCCCCCCACCCCCGCCCCCCCAAAAGTGTTTCCCACTTGGAATAAGGTGTTGTCTCAAACTCCAGATGTTTCCCGCACGCACCGAATATCCCTTTTCATACTCCCTTGTCATTCTCCAATTTTCCTACTCCAATTTTTGTATTCCAATTTTCATAACTCCCTTTTCGTACTCCAATTTTCCTACTCCAATTTTCCTACTCCAATTCGGGGGAAGCCAACCTGCCTCGGCAGAACTTCTGGCCGTCCGCTCGATGCTCAAACGGGTCTTTTCTTCTCGTGGCTGCAGATCCAGTTGCAAACCCTGGACATCCGACTCTCTTACAACGACGTCCAGCTCTTCCTGGCGATCGCCAAGTCCATTTCTAAGCAGACCAGTGGGGGGCTACCCAGCCCTCATGCCGCCGTGGACCCTTCGGCTCCTTCGGGCTCCTCTGGTGTAAATGAGGTCTCGGGAACCGCCGCAGAACGAACGGAGACCGCTAAGCGGCTGCTGGATCCGGTTCTGGGTAGGAACACGATTTTCAAATTTGGGGTTGACTTCCCTGCCTCCACACCCCACACTACGTGCTGCTACTTACTACATGTTGGAGCCTCAACACCTCCACGTTTCCTTCCAGAGGTGCAGCTGGCCCGCCTGCAGGAACTGGGATTCAGCCTGGATGATTGTCGCAAGGCTCTGCTGGATTGTCAAGGTGTGTGTAATTTTTGTTGTTGTTTTTTTTAAAGAAAAAATAAAAATAAAAACGCACAATCATTTGCAACCAGAATACCGTTCGAAGTCGCCAGGGCGTTGAAAAAAGTGGCGGACGACCATTTTTCACATTGGCCACCTTTGCAGCGTCCCCCACAGTCACGCGATCGAAATTCAGAGGCTCGGAAACTGGCGTGGACTTAGGACAGTTGCGGTGCCTTGAGGTCACGTGACCCCCCTTTTGCGACCAGATTCACTTAACAGCCGGGTTACTGACTTATCAACTGCGGTGATCCACTGGCAAGCAAGGTTCGCAAAATGAGGCCAAGCAAATGTCTGACTTAACGACAGAAATTTTGGGCCCCGTTGTGGTCGTTAAGTCGAGGACCCCCCCCATGTGTGTGAAATAAGCCAACTGACAACGCCACAATGATTCCATCTCTCTCTCTCTCTCTCTCCGGTCTCCTGCTTGATGGGGTCAGGTCAGCTGAAGAAAGCAGCCAGCTGGCTGTTCAAGAACGCCGAGCCTTTGAAACGCTCCGGGTTCGATTCCAGCAGTCCCGACGGGCAGAACTCCAGGGCTCTCCGACTCATCTCCGGAGTGGAAGTCAAAGCCGAAAGCATCTGCATTTGTTTTATCGACGACTGCATGGACTGTGACGTTCCTCTGGCCGAGCTGACCTTTTCCCGTAAGCCTTTAGAGTACAAAATAACAGAATAAGAGAGTCGGAAGGGACCTCGGAGGTCTTCTAGTCCAACCCCTTGCTCAGGCAGGAAGAACTATACCCTTTCAGACAGGTGGCTGGGCGGTCTCTTCTTGAAAACCTCCCAAGTGATGGAGCACCCACCAGTTCTGGTGGCAAGCAGTTCCCCTGGTTAATTGTCCTCACTGTCAAGGAAGTTTCTCTTTAATTCCAGGTTGCTTCTCTCCTTGATTAGTTTCCATCCATTTCTGTGTCTGTTGAGGAGGTCGATTCCTAAAAAATATCTTGCTATGAAGACATTAAAGTCATAGAAACATACAAGAAACAAAACATAAGACTCACAATTAGCATTTATTTTCTATTTTCTTTTCGTAGAGGTTTCAAAGTTTCGGAACTGATTCATCGTTCTTTCCCGACAGGTTTGAACTTCCTTCAGCACTTGAGAGCCAGCCCGGAAGGCTACGCCCATTTTACGCTCTCCGGCGACTATTACAACCGCGAACTCTCCGGTGAGTGTCTGCCGCCCCTGCAGCTGGTCCCCGACTTCGTTTAGCGACCGAAATGTCTTTTTTTTTTTTTTGCTTCCCTTCCGTCCAATTTGTGGAAACCCTCCGGTTAAGTCCCTGCCCTTTTCTAGGGGTTTTTTTGGGGAATTGGTTTGCCGTTGCCTCTTTCCTAGGGCTGAGAGAAAGTGGCTGGCCCCAGGCTCTCCACCGGGTAGAATGGCAGCGCCGTCAAAGGCCTTTCTTTCCGTTTTTCTCCAAGGCTGGGAGCCGTTCGTGGAGCCTTGGCCCTGCTCCGTCTTTTGGCAGCGCCAGCCGGCCAGCCGCCTCCACCCGTCCCGGCTGAAGCTGGAAGTGAAGGCGAAGCACCGCCTGGACGTCAACGTCACCTCCAGGCTCCTTGGTAGGGGGCTGGGGGGGGGAAGCCCCCTTTCCTGATGGGGCTGGGAGAAGGGCCTGGAGCGGCTCTCCCAGCTGTGGGGGGCGGGGGCCCTCCCCTCCCTCCCTCTCTTCCCTCCCTCCTTCCTCCCTTTCTTCCTTCTTTTCCGCCTTCCTTTCTTTTCTCCTTCCTTGCTTCTCTCCCTCTTCCTTTATTTCCTCCTTCCTTCCTTCCTTTCCTCCTTCTCTTCCTTCCCTCCTTTTTTCCTCCTTTCTTTTCTCCTTTCCTCCCTCCCTTCTCCCTCCCTCTTCCTTTCTTTCCTCCTTCCTTCCTTCTTTCTCCCTCTCCCTTCCTTCTCCCTCCCTCCCTCCTTCCTTCCTTCCTTCCTTTCCTCCTTCCTTTCCTCCCTCCTTCTTCCTTCCTTTCCTCCTTCCTTCTTTCTCCCTCCCTCTTCCTTCCTTTCCTCCTTCCTTGCTTCCCTCCCATCCTTCTCTCTTCCTTCCTTTCCTCCCTCCTCCCTCTTCTTTCCTTTCTTTCCTCCTTCCTTCCTTCTTTCTCTCTCCCTCTTCCTTCATTCTCCCTCCCTCCCTTTTCCTTCCTTTCCTCCTTCCTTCCTTTTCTCCCTCCCTCCCTTTTTCCTTCTCCTTCCCTCCTTCCTCCCTCCCTTCATGGCTCTTTGTCTCCTTCCCTAGAGCAATATGCCAGCACCAAGCAGTCCTGGATGGCCGATTACTGCAGCCAGGAGAACGAAGCCACGGAGCTGGAATCCGAAGAGTGGGCCGGCTCTTCGGTGGATCCCCCTTCCTTCAGGCAAGGTGTGAATCTCCTCCCCCCTCCCCTCCCCTCCCCCGTTGCCTTGATGCCTGCACAGCATGGGTGTCGCAACTTTCACCACCATGCTTAGGACCCCTCCTCTCCTCTCCCTCTGCTGCTTCTTCAGACACCAGTTTGCCATTTAACCTCTCTCTGGGGCTTTTCATTAAGGTGTTCGGTGCCCAGGACCCCCTGGGTCTACCCGGCCCTCCTCTGGGCTTTGCTGTTTCAAGGTCGCAGCTCAGCCTCCGTAAAAATGGCTGCTCTTCAGCTTCCGGTGTCTCTCGGGGTCCTTTTAAGCAAAGGCCCGGCGTTGATTCAGTGCCGAAGCCCCCTCCGTACGGGGGGCTGACGGCTTCTCGCCTTCTCCCCCCCCCCCGACTCGCGGTCTCTCTGCCCTTTTCTCGCTAACACTGTCTTTCCTGTCTGCTAGGCCTTCCTCTTGCCTACCTTAGAACTAGGAGCACAGCCAGTCTGACTAACCTAGAGCACCAGATGTATGCCGGAGGTACCGTATTTGCGGAGTCCAGACGCTTCCCTCTTTTCCTTGCTTTCAGGCCTCTGTTGTTTTTTTTCTGACAGATATTAACAAAAAAAAAATGGCGTTCCAATTTTCTTTCTAAAAAAAATGTCTTGATTACACTGGCTATTTCAGAAAGCTTGGCTCAGGTGTTGTACCTGGCTTTCGGCATGCTGTTTTGGGTTTTGTGTTTTATGTCACCCTTCCCTTCCTTTCTCTTTCCTTTCCTTTCCTTTCTCCTTCCCTTCTCTCTTCCTCCTTCCCTTCCTTTCCTTTCCTTTTCCTTCCCTTCCCTTCCCTTCCCTTCTTCCTTTCCTTTCCTTTCCTTTTTCCTTCCCTTCTCTCTTCCTCCTTCCCTTCCTTTCCTTTCCTTTTCCTTCCCTTCCCTTCCCTTCCCTTCTTCCTTTCCTTTCCTTTCCTTTTTCCTTCCCTTCTCTCTTCCTCCTTCCCTTCCTTTCCTTTCCTTTTCCTTCCCTTCCCTTCCCTTCTTCCTTTCCTTTCCTTTCCTTTTCCTTCCCTTCCCTTCCCTTCCCTTCTTCCCTTCCTTTCCTTTCCTTTTCCTTCCCTTCCCTTCCCTTCTTCCTTTCCTTTCCTTTCCTTTTCCTTCCCTTCCCTTCCCTTCCCTTCTTCCCTTCCTTTCCTTTCCTTTTCCTTCCCTTCCCTTCCCTTC